GTCTCACATTCATATCTTTGACACATCCTACTTCTTTAACACAAGCAAGTGTTAATCTGTCTTCTTGTCTAACTTCAAAAGAATATGGAATCTTTCCATCCTCCAAATAGTCATCAATTTCCTAGCAACAACTGTAACACCGGCAACCCCTCCAAATGACACACTTATGAATAGGGGATCATTCCACTTAACGTCTATGTTCAAGGTGTTCTAAGGGATCATCTTAAGCTAACTTAAATGATTCTTTAACAACACAATATCAACATCAATGTACTTAACAACATTAATTCGCAAATAACAAAAATTACAAGTTACAATTAAACATTGGTTGTCAACTTGGAATTGAATGCAAAATCAATTAGTAGAAAACTTGGACATTAAATCTCGGATAAAGCCAAGACCTAAACGGTTATTCCGGGCACTAACCCGCTGGGAATACCACCCTAGTGCGCACTATAAATGGGGAGAACTCATACCTCCCGCACTAGAGCCAAACTCTAGCCATGTCACTTGTAACAATGTCCCAAGAGAATCCAAAATCATTATTAAGTTCAAAACTTATACACTATAATTAAGGCATATAAACCACCTTCTATGCACAAGTATTTTGAAACCACACAAACCATGTCTTAGGGTTTCAAGTCTTGAATGGCATAATAAATGACAAGTCCTCATCATGATGTAATGTACAATATAATACCACCAACTTATCAATTTAAACCATGCCTCAACAATAAGCTTTATATAGTAAATCTTAACATTATAGTAATAAGCTTCTAAAATAACCAGAATTAGTCATCAACATGAATATATAATTATCACCACCATAAATATAGCAATTCAAGTCAATAGGAATTGTATATAACATTAGTAATTTTTCACAAGAGTTCTATATCACTACCACATGTGAGAATACTAGAATTTAGCATACTACTAAATCATATAATCTTTCTACTCAAGGTATATACATATCATACATGCTTAAATCAATAAACCCAAAGTCAAAATGTGAGGGTTTCCTATGATATACAATACTATAATTCTAAAAGCATGTACGCAATATATATTATACCCCAAAGGACTTAAAACACTTGAAGTATAAACATACTACGACCCCTACCACAATAGAGAATTGAATCTCTATAATCCAAAGCAACCAAGCTCAAAATGGAAAACAAATCTAGGGTTTTGAAGAGGAGAGAGAGAGGAAAATTTTACTTCCCAAGGTTAATGGTCTAAGGTGTGCGGAAGGAGGGCAAAATTAGAAAATAAGCTCTAAACCAAGCTTTTCTCCAATGGTGGCTAGGTTAGGGTTTTGAAAACAAAAGAAATGAAAGACATTAAGTAAAATGTTGTGAGTGGAGGATCTAGTATTCTTCCACTTACTATATGCTCTTACACTACCTCTCACACACACACAATTGCAAGACTAAATTGTGAGCCTACACTTGTCACAAATCCATGGCTCTTTCCTAGGCTTAATCCTAAGCCTACACTTGTCAACCATCCAAGCCAACAAGTGCACATATCCTAGGCCAACAAGTGGGTGAATCTCCACCCTCCAAATGTCACAAGATGATGCATCCAAGTCTCTCCACCCTAATATCAACAAGTGGCTTCATGAGAGTGTGACACTCGTCACACTTTTTAAAAATTGCAAAAAGGTCATTTTTTCAAAATATCTTTCAAATTAAATTGCAAGATGGTCCCTAAGATGAAAAATAATTACTTTGCATAATTACACTAAAACCCCAAAAATAAGAATATCTCCTAAGAAACTATGCATCCATGCCCTTTACGAAAAAGAAAGCAACTAGCATGCTTTTCTACAAAAGTAAAAATACAATTACCTTGGAAATCAAATATTATGGATGCTTGCAAAGCCGGAATCAAATTCGAGCACAAAAAGTGAGGTTATGCAAAGAAAAACGATAAACGGGAAAAAGACAAAATAGGAAAAAAGACGAAAAAAGAAATTACAGGAAAAAAAGAAAGGAAGGAAAATGACCGAGTCATTACAACTGTTACCCAAATTGCAAAGACCGTGGGAATAATCCAGACAAGAGGAACAATTTTCAATCGACCAGGAAGCGCAGTGTCCATGAAAGGTTGGGTCATCAGCCTAGACAGAATCCCAAAGAAGTTAATCGACCAATATTCAGAGAGAATGGGCCAAGGGCAGTAAGAATCATTCGGTCAGAAAGGTCTGTGGCAGATAGAGTTCTGCCAGAGCAACATTTTTATCCTAGTTTCAAAAGGAAACCAGTAATTCAGTCAGAAATATGGATTGAAAAGGGAAAAGAGTCTAACCGTGTAAGAACGGCCAGACCTTCTTTGGTTGATCATGGCAGATGGACTCAAGTGAATCATCTGAAGTTTCCTAAGCGGCCTCCTACACGTACTCAAAAAAGGAGGATACAAAGGAAGAATGCAGAACTTACACGTACTGAAAACATGGAGGTTGCTATATCTTTTGGGAATGAGGCATCCTCTTACGAGGAGAAAGATGATCAGCCAGATTAAGATCCAAAGCATACAGCCAAGTACAGAATTCGCTTTGGTTCCCTTCCGGATGAGGTAAATTGTAATATGGTATTTGTGTTTACCTTCTATGTTTGAAGCAAGGACAGAGCCAATAGTGAACAGGGATGTTAAGTCAGCCGAGATTAAGGACGAGGCTGAATCATCAGAAATCAAGAATCACTTAGAGAGTTCATCGGCCAGGGTAGGATTGGTCTCTCAAGATCAACCAACTGAGGCCGATAAAATCATCTTTGAAAAACCACCTCTGGCCATGACACAATAGTTGAGGCCATTGTATGTTAAAGTATAGGTTAAAGGTCAGCCAGTCAATAGAGTATTGGTCGACAATGGTTCGGTGGTAAATGTTATTCCAGCAACCACTTTGAAGAAATTGGGCAAGACCATGGATCATATGGTTCCAACCGACATGGCCATCAGTGGTTTTAATGGAGGATCTAGTAACACCAAAGGTATTCTGCCTTTGGAAATTACTATTGGTGGTAAAATATCCTTCACGGCCTTTTTTATCATTGACTCAACCGCGGCCTATAATCTCCTTTTAGCTCAAGATTGGATTCACCCTAATATGTGTATCCCATCAGCATTACATCAAATGTTGATTTTTTGGGATGGAAATGAGGTAAAAATTGTTGAGGCCAATAATAAACCCTTTATAGCCAGGGTGTATTCGGCCGAGGCTGCACTTTATGATGAAACTATTGTACCTATCAAATTTATTGGCATTAATAGGATAGGACGACCAGCAGCAGCAACAATGAAGAAAAACTTGGTTAATACTGATATTGAAGAGCTATTGACAGAATTAGTCCAATCGACAATTGATATTTTCAGGTCGACCATCAAGGAAATTGAAGATGTTTTTGATGGATTACACAAATAAAGAAGAAAAGAAGCGGCAAGCTTTCAGGGCCGCTTGCGTAAGACTGAAAACATATCTAGCTGAAAAGAGATTGGCTAGAGAAGAACAATTATATGAAAAAGTATCGACCAGTACGGCCGATATAGGTGAAGAAGGTTTTAAAAAGTTGGATGCAATCCAATTTGAAGATTTGGAGTTAGCCCCTTTTAGGTTGGAAGATAATAAAGAAGAGGTCTAAGATCTTTTATATGAAATTAATGTTGGTACTAAAGAAGATTATTGGCCATTATTTGTTAGTACTTTGCTTAAGCCTAATTTCCAGGCCGATTTAATCAATTTATTAAAAGAATATAATGATTGTTTTGCTTGGAGTTATGAAGAGATGCCTGGCCTATCACGGAAGTTGGTAGAACATAGATTGCACATCAAGAAGGATTTTCAGCCATATAAGCAACCACCAAGGAGGATGTCCATGGAAGTAATGCTTAAAATTAAGGAAGAAATTGAAAGACTTCTCAAGGTAGGATTTATCCGAACGATCAGGTATGTTGAATGGTTAATTATCTAATATTGTTCCAGTAATAAAGAAAAATGGCAAACTTAGAATTTGTGTGGATTTTTGCAATTTAAATATTGCCGCTCCAAAAGACGAATATCCAATGCCAGTGGCCGATCAACTTATTAATTCGACCGTTAAGCATGAAATAATGTCTTTTATGGACGGCCATTCAGGTTATAATCAAATCAATACAGTCGAGGAGGATTTTCTTAAAACGGCTTTTAGATGTCCTGGGTCAATTGATACTTTTGAGTTGGTTGTAATGCCATTCGGCCTAAAGAATGCAGGGGCTACTTATCAAAGGGCAATGAATTCAATCTTTCATGATATGATTGGCCAATTCATGGAAGTCTACATAAATGATGTGGTTGTGAAATCATCGGCCAAAAAACAGCATTTGGAACACTTGAAAAAGGATTTTGAAAGGATGAGAGTTCACAAGTTGAAAATAAACCCATTGAAGTGTGTGTTTGAGGTCTCAGCCGGGAATTTCTTGAGATTTTTGGTACAACAACGAGGCATAGAAATTAATCAGAATGAGGCTAAAGCTATTATGAATGCTACGGCTCCAACCAGCAAAAAACAGGTCCAAAGGTTTCTCGGCCAGGTAGGTTTTCTTAGAAGATTTATTGCTAACCATGTTGGCCGAGTACATGCTTTTTCCCTTTTATTAAAATTAAAGTCACATGAAAATTTTCATTGGGATGAATCCTATCAGAAGGCCTTTGACAAAATAAAAGAATATTTGGCAAACCCCCTGGTAGTGATGCCTCCAAGGAAGAAATGATCGTTGAAGCTTTATTTATCGGTCACAGAAGAATCAATTGGCAACATGCTTGCTCAGAATAATGAACTTGGAAAGGAACAGGCTGTTTACTGTTTAAGCAGAGTATTAACTGATGTTGAATGCAGATATTCTTCAATTAAGAATGATATGCGGCCGATTGATGTTTACATTCTTTGTCAAACTAATGTGAATAAATATATGCTATCAAGCCATTGATCATTGACCGAATAAGTAAGTGGGCATTGGCCTTGATGGAATTCAATCTTATCTTTGTCCCACAAAAATCAATTAAAGGAAGGGTTTTGGCTGATTTCTTGGCCAATCATCCTTCGACTGATATTGATCCACAAGTTTATGATGAATTAGAGTCATCAGCCATTTTCCTAACTCCTTGGATATTGACGTTCGATGGATCAAGCAAGGCCGATGGAGTAGGAGCAGGTATTGTTATCATCTCACCAGTTGGAAGAAAGACTTCATTGTCATTTTTCTTAGATTTTAAATGTTCAAATAATCAGTCTGAATATGAAACACTTATAATCGGCCTAGAAATTTTAATTAAAAAGGCTGTTGGAGATATAAAAATTTTGGGAGATTCAAACTTGGTACTTTGTCAAATTACTGAAGATTTCAAATGCTTAAGTTGGCAATTAAGGCTGTTTCATTCTCTGGCTACTTCATTGATGAATCAATTTGATAATGTTCAACTTAAGTTCTGGCCAAGTGGACAGAATAAAGAGGCCAATAACATGGCCTAAGCAGCCTCTGGAATCAGAGTACCAGTTGGAATGGAAGATCAATTGATAAAAATAACACGAAAATCCTTGCCATTGGCCGAATTAAGAAATACCATGTTGGCCGATTCATGGGTAATTGATATAGAAGATCTAGCCGACGATGATTGGAGGATACCATTTATAATGTTTCTCCGAAATCTAAACATCAAGGCTGATAGAAGTATCAAGAGAAGAACAGTCAATTTTCTACTCCTTGATGGAGATGTATATAGAAAAGGCCTTAAAGATGGACTCCTACTACAATGCATAAGTAAAGAAGAGTCACTTTAAGTTATGGCCGAGGTACATGAAGGTAGCTATGGAGCCCACCAAGCTAGGATAAAAATGAGATGGCTGATTTGAAGGTATGGATATTATTGGCCACGAATGAGAAAAGATTACATAGATTATGCAAAAGGCTGTCAAGCTTGTCAAAAACATGGACCAATTCAAAACGTGTCAGCAAGAGAATTACAGCCAATAATCAAATTATGGTCGTTCAGAGGCTGGGGCTTTGACCTTATTGGTAAAGTTAATTAGCATCAAGTGAAGGCTATCACTGGGTGATTATGGCTACAGATTATTTTACTAAATGGGTTGAGGCCAAAGCTTATAAAACGGTTGATCAACAAACAATGATTAACTTCATGGAACAACATATTATCCACAGATTTGGAATTCCAGAAACACTTGTTTCAACCAAAGCGACAGTGTTCAAGGCAACTGATGTGTTACAATTCGGCGACAATATGAACATCCATATGACAGCCTCTACACCATACTATGCCCAAGCAAATGGTCAGGCTGAGTCTTCAAAAAAAATTTTAATAAAGATCATTGAAAAAATGATCAAAGATAAGCCAAGAAGGTGGTATGAGACTTTATCTGAGACTCTATGGGCCTATAGAAATTCAAAAAGAACAGGCACGGGAATCACATCATATATGTTAACTTATGGACATGATATTGTTCTGCCTATGGAAATGAAGGTTAAATTGGCCAGAGTTGCATTCCAAAATAATCTAACTCCGGCTAATTACACTCAAGCAATGTTGATAGAATTAGAAGACTTAGATGAAGTTAGGTTGGATGCCTTGGATCACATCATAGCTCATAAGAAAAAGGTAATGAGAATCTACAACAAAAGGGTAAAACCTAAGTCTTTTGCTGAAGAAGATTTAGTTTGAAAAGTTGTTCTTCCAGTGGGTAAGGTTGATAGGAAATATGGAAAATGATCTCATAAATGGGAAGTGCCATACTTAGTCCATCAAGTCCTAAGTGGAGGAGCATATAGGTTAAAGTATCTTAGTGGCCGATTGCATGATTACCCCATTAATGGCAAGTACCTTAAGAGGTATGTGCCAACAATCTTTGAAAGGGAAAATTAGAGTCAGCCAGTACCTTTGGCTGACCATGTGTACTTCTATGAAATAAATCCGGCCTGTTTATAGGCTGATTTAGTTGTTTAAATTTCAATAAAAAAAATTTTAAAAATAAAAAAAATTCTTGTTAAAGCATTGATGCTTGTTTAAAGCAACAAAAGAGTCCATTTATTTATCGAAGTGTAGAAGAATTACATCATTTAAGTTCATACACTAAAATGGCTACAAAAAAAGGGGGGCTATTGAAAAAGATTATATGTTTGCCAATTTCTCCTTGAAATCGGCCCAAATCACTAAGGACCGATTAAAGGCAACCATGGCATGTCTCTTTGATTCTTCTAATTTAGGTAATTCTTCACGAAGACTAGCATGCTTGTGAGCAAGGTTTTGAGCTTCAAACTGCAATATGGCAGCCTCAGCAGACAAGATGGCCTTACGAGCATGAATCTGGTCGATCTCCTGTTGGAAGACTCTCTTTCTTTCCTCAAGGCTGATGAACTCTTTGTTTACTCGGTCAAATGTAGAAGCTTGAGTTAACAACTGTTCACCAAGAGTGTCCTTCCTACTTTTGCTCTTGTGAAAATGATTGATCGATTCATTGGCCTAGAAAATCTTATCAGCCAAAGCTGGCAATTGACCTTTGAAAGTAGCAATGGTGGCTTGAAGGTCGACTGGGAAATCTGGATGTTGGCTGAGTGTGGTAAGGACAGCCGTGAGTTCAGTCTCAAATTGAGGAAGATCAACAGTATCTCGTTACAAAATTTCAACCAAAGTCTTTTTGGTTTCTTCCATAGTTTGTACTGGAACACTGGCTGAAGTAACTGGAGTTATTCCTAAAGATTCACTCTCTCTCTCTTCAGTCACTGAAGCTACCACATCTTTGAAGAAATTACTCAAGGCCAGAAAGGAGGAAGCAGGAGCTTTTGGTGGAGGAAATGAAGGAACTTTTTCATAAATAACCTGTAAATATGGAAAAAGGTTAGACGTCTAACTTTTTAAATATGAGTAAAAATTACAGGTATGAGGTAGTCAATACTTTGGATGATTCGGCCATAGCTACATCCAAGGGTGGCTGATGGCTGATTACTGGTGGAAGAAAATCTGGCTAAAGAGCTGTAATGTCTCCTTGAGATGAAGCTTTGGCAGGAGTGACTTGAGTATTAAAAGGTACCTCAATGGATTCATGAAAATCCTTCAAAGGGCTGAAATTCCTAACTGGGCTATAGATCAAGTTAAGAAGAGGAGATTGCTGCAAAAGAAAGACCAATGATGTTATTAAAAGTGATGAAGGTTAAAAAGCTTAGGTAAAATTATCATTACCTCTTTTTTATCTGAGGAATGATCAGAAGGATCATCAGCCACATTGATTACAGGGTCATCGGCCAATTCAATCACAAGATCATCAGCCACATCTTCTGTTGGCTGAGGACTTTTTTCAACCTCAGGCTTTTACCTTTGTTAAACTTTGTTCTCTTTAAAGTCCTATGGGCAGTGGATTTCTTTCTCTTTCCCTGAAGAAGGAAATTTTATTAAAGATTGTCTCAACCGATAACAATTTTGACCAAGAATCAGGTATCAATATCAGCCAAGTATTTTGATCATATAGCCGATATGATTATTTTACTAAAAGTAAAAGTTTCTTAGGCTGATAAGCATAATCTTTTACCTTGCTTACAAGAGGAGGAATTTCAGGAGCTTCAGGGATGGTGGCTGATTCAGTTTCTGTAGGATGATGAAGTTGACTAGAGGAGATCTTGTCACCTTGAAGCTCAACATTCTCTGGGTTAAGGGAGGCCGATAGTGTCTCATTATCTAAATCTATAACAAGGTAAGAAAGTTTAGTCTAAAGCTTTTAATATACCTATATGTGAAAATAAAGGAAGATTATACCTTTAAGTAGGCTGAATATGGCCTTGGCTTTAGCTTTTCTTTCTTTATTAATCCTTATTGGAGTATCTGTTGGCTGAGAGAAAGGAAGTTTCTTGGTTGTTTGTTTCTTGCCTTTGGGAGGATCTTTTTAAGGCACTTTCTTTGGGGTAATAACCCGAGTGATTATAAAAGCCCCTTCGAAGGCAACAGATATAAATTTAAATAACTCTAGGATTTTTATAACAAGGGTCTAGCAGTGTGATACCCCCTAATTTTGGAACACGGATTGATCAAGTCCGCGCACAAAATCAAGGGATATCAAAACAATTTAAGTATTTAACAAGCACAGAATACAAAGATGAATAATAAAGAATAAATAAACCGCTGAAGAAAACTAATAAATAAATATTACTTAATGATTCTCCAACAATTACAATTCAGAAATCCCATAACTCAAGGACCCCTTAAAACATTATCCAATAATCCAATACTGTTTAAAAGTACACAAGATGAATAGACGAATGACAGTCTCCCAGCTGCGGATCCTCAACCTCGAGACTGGAACCTCTAATAACCTGAAAAAAGAAATCGTGGGTTAAACCCTACGAGCAAGTTCACTCTACCAGGCCTCTGAAAACCAATAAGCAGATCATCTCTGATCAAAACCAAACCTAATAAAGTTTTAACTTTAATAAAGCACGATATACATGTCTATATATAACTATATATACTATACTAATCACATCCATTAATAGGTTTATTAAATTTCCATACCTATTAAATAATTATTAAAATAATATTCATACCTAGACCAATCTACCATTTCATTTTATAAAAACTCCTTTGACCTTAATCCCATCCTAGTCAGTTGTCTAATCATTTAAACAACAAATTATAATAAAAGAAATACTCTATTTAATCCCAACCCGATAATGATTTTAATTGTTTAAATCACATATCCAAAATCCAAGTTTTGACAAATCATCCACGTCTTCCCCAATATTATTTTATTAATGGAAAATAATACACTAACCAGTAAGTACTAAACTATTCTCATTTAAGAATATCTAACCCTAATCCAATCCATACATACAACAACCATAGATGATATTTTAATCATCTAACACATAACAACGTAATTATGCTTTGGCAAATCAACCATGCCATTGTAAATATTTTTATTTATATATTGGCAATTCAACCATACCTCCATAAGTATATTTATTTATACATTGGCAATTCAACCATGCCTCCGTGTATGTATATTTATACATTGGCAATTCAACCATGCCTCCACAGGTATATTTATTCATACATTTAATTAGCAATTCATCCATGCTTTCCATATATGTATTCTATTCATACAAATATTTAGGTAATATATTTAATCATTTGACAATTCATCCATGCCCACACTTTAACCATGAATTAACTTTAAAATTAACAATACGCTAAATCATACATAGCCATCACATGCATATTATACGCATATCATTAATTTAACAACCAGCCTATTAAGATATGCCAAATAAGAATGATAATATTAATCATCTTAAATGATTTATATATATATATACCTACACATATGTTATTTAATGTATATATGTGTTTAACACCTTCTTTAATAATCCTTGATTATTTAAAATCAATATACATACATACATACATACATATATATATATATATATATATTCATCCTTCCATACAACTCATAGACAAATTAAACTATAT